GAAAATAATTTACACATTACAATACTAAAATCTAAAGTAAAAAAATTCTGAGTATGTGTATATGAGTATTTGGGCGGGGGGAGATCAAGGATAAATACATTCTCAAAAAGATACATTAATCCAAATTGTTTATAGAGTTCTGTACATAAGAAGTAATAGTTAGCTTTTAAAAATCAAAGGTGGAACATAATGAAAAAGTCCCACACATGTGTTGAATAATTCTCCAAACTAAAAACAATTCTTTGGTTTTGAAAGTTAAATAAAAAACAAAAACAAAAAAAAAGCTTGTAAGTAACAGTGACAAGAAGCAAAGATTCTAATGATTAACAAAGTTTAAATGAACTATATGAATGACAGAGAATGACTATTAAGATGAATGACATAAGCATTTCCATATTCTTTGAAGTTTTCTCATTTTAGAGCATGTTCAATGAATATGAGCTCATTCTGGTAGAAGTGGTCTTAAATGGCTCTTTCTCCTATTTATTAAGATTTAGCACAGTATGTTTGAATTATAGTGGTACAAACAATCAAGGATTCTTTTTTTTCTTTTCTAACACTATTTATGAAGTACTCAGTACTTAGGAAGATCTTTGTGTGGATTATGGCACATCAGGCCCTTACGGTATTTATCTGAAAAATAAGCAAACTATATTGGAATTAAATTATATTGCATATACAGAGTAAATAACACAATAATTGCTTAATAGGCTCGATAACTGGAAAATAATACATTTTTTAAATATAAGTTTCTGCTTCCTAGTGAATTTCTTATCATTCTAGTCTCATGCTTGTCGACCTCAATACAGTCTAATATGATATCTTCTTTGGGTAGTCTTCCAACATTTGGGGGTTTAATGTCAAACAGAATTAAAGAGAAAGATTTCATGGCCTGACAAATCAAAATTGCATCTCTTTTTGTACAGTCAATTACAAATAAAATATCTCAGCACTTAAATTGGATGCTTAGTTTAGATTTTGATAACACTAATGAGTAGTAATCCTTTTCTGAGATTTTACAAGTAAAATGTTAAAGCAGAAATGTAATGCGGTCATGTGGTCTGCACCAGTGTTTCAGATAAGTAGAGACTTATCTTTAGGGAGTCACATTATATACTGTCTTCTGGTGATATTTTTCTATTACAAAAAAAAAAGCGCTTTATCTTTCTCTCTTTGTAATTCAAAGAACACCTTTCTATTTCTCTCAGTTTCATGGTCCTTGTTCTTATTCCTCTTGTTCTTCTCCTCACTCTTCCTTTCCTCCACCTACTTCTCTCTCTGTCTCTCTCTGTTTCTCTCTCTTCTCTCCTCCTCCTCTCTGTCTCTGTTTCTCTCTCTCTGCTCCTCCCTCCTTTCCCTACCTCTCTCTCCCTCCCTCCTTCTTGCCCTCAACCTTATCCTCCAGACTTTGCTTCTGACCTCCCTCTCTCTAATAAGTAGAGACAAATCTTTATATTCCTTTCACTTTTAGAGCAGTACCTCTTGAATGCAAAAATACTTAGAGGACTCTACTCTTATTTTTTTCTTCTGCACTGGCCTCTGAAATTATTCATCCAAAGTATGCCACCTGGTTAATACTTATGCCACTTGTGGTTGACTTTTTTTTTTCATAAAATATTTTAACAGGGG